CGCTTCGGAGAGGGCGACTCCACCATCCGCGTCATCAAATACAGCGGTGAGGGGATGGGATCCGCAGATTCATGGGAAATTTTGTGTTTTGGGGTGTGATGGGAGCCTGGAATGGTGGGGGTGTTCCCGATCCTGGAATAACGTGGGGAGGGATGAGCGGGGTCATCCCAAAAGGAAATTCTGGGAGAAAAGAAAGGCTTCACTTCTCGGATGATTTATGAGCTGAGATCCCAGGATTTGCACTCTGGGATATTCCAGGATCCCGGAATAGCACGGTCATTCCCAATCCTGGGAGGGATGAGTGGGGTCATCCCAAAAGGAAATTCTGGGAGAAAAGGAAGGCTTCGTCTCTGGGATGATTTATGAGCTGAGATCTCCAAAATGTGCTCTGGGATGTTCTGGCAATCCCGGAATGCTGTGGGGGTTCCCGATCCTGGAAAAATGTGTGGAGGGATTAGCGGGGTCATCCCAAAAGGAAATTCTGGGAGAAAGGGAAATGTTCACCTCTGGGATGACTCATGAGCTGAGATCCCCAAAATGTGCCCTGGAATGTTCTGGGGATCCCATAACAGTGCAGTCATTCCTGACCCTGGGAGGGATGAGCAGGGTCATCCCAAAAGGAAAATCTGGGAGAAAGAAAAATCTTCACCTCTGGGATGATTTATGAGCTGAAATCCCAGGAAATGTGCTCTGGAATATTCTGGGATCCTGGGATAATGTGGGGAGGGAAGAGCGGGGTCACCCCAAAAGGAGGATCTGAGAGAAAGGGAAATCTTCACTTCTGGGATGATTTATGAGATGGGATCCTGGGAAATGCGCCCCAAGATGTTGCAGTAATCCTGGAACACTGCAGTCATTCCTGGTCCTGGAAAAATGTGGGGCAGGATGAGTGGGTTCATCCCAAAAGGAGGATCTGGGAGAAAGAAAAGGATTCATCTCCAGGATGATTTATGAGCTGATGTCCTGGAAAATGCGCTCTGGGACATTCCAGGATCCCAGAATGGCACGGTCATTCCCAATCCTGGGAGGGATGAGCGGGGTCATCCCAAAAGGAAGATCTGGGAGAAAGAAAAATCTTTACTTCTGGGATGATTTATGAGCTGAGATCCCAAAAATGTGCTCTGGAATGTGCTGGGATCCTGTAATGGGGCGGCTGTTCCCGATCCTGAAATAACACAGGGAGGGATGAGCGGGGTCATCCCAAAAGGAGGATCTGAGAGAAAGGAAAGGCTTCACTTCTAGGATGATTTATGAGCTGAGATCCCAGAAACACACTCTGGAATATTCCAGGATCCCAGAATGCTGTGGGTGTTCCTGATACTGGGATAACATGGGGAGGGATGAGCGGGGTCATCCCAAAAGGAAATTCTGGGAGAAAGGGAAATCTTTGCTTCCAGGATGGTTTATGAGCTGAGATCCCAAAAATGTGCTCTGGAATGTTCTGGGGATCCCATAACAGTGCGGTCATCCCTGACCCTGGGAGGGATGAGCGGGGTCATCCCAAAAGGAGGATCTGGGAGAAAGGGAAATTTTAATCTCCAGGATGATTTATGAGCTGAAATCCCCAAAATGTGCTCTGGGATGTTTTGGCAATCCTGGAATGCTGTGGGGGTTCCCGATCCTGAAAAAAAGGTGGGAAGGGATGAGCGGGATCATCCCAAAAGGAAAATCTGGGAGAAAAGAAAGGCTTCACCTCTGGGATGATTCATGAGCTGAGATCCCAGGAAACGTGTTCCAGGATGTGTCGGGGATCCCAGAATGCTGTGGGCATTCCCAATCCTGGAATAATATGGGGAGGGATTAGTGGGGTCATCCCAAAAGGAAATTCTGGAAGAAAGGGAAATGTTCATCTCTGGGATGATTTATGAGCTGAAATCCCGGGAAATGTGCCCTGGAATGTTCTGGGGATCCCGTAACAGTGTGGTCATTCCTGACCCTGGGAGGATGAGCGGGGTCATCCCAAAAGGAAAATCTGGGAGAAAGGGAAATCTTTATTCCAGCATGATTTATGAGCTGA